GGCTATGGGTTCAGAGCCTCAGCTGTGCCCCAAGGTTCCTGTGGGAATCACACTTAGCATATCCTAAGTCTGGCTGGGCTTTCCTCCTTTTATATATTGGTATGTTGAAATCATTTCTTAAAATAGGTCAATAATAGGTAAACATTCTAGATCTTTTATTTTTTCTCTGGATCCACTTAATTCCCTGCATATTTATGTGAGCCTTTTAGAAGCTCAGCTGCGCTTTCTCGAAGGCCTGGCTTTCACCCTGCCCCATGGGTGGTGCAGCACACACCAGTAAAGTGTCAGACATCCCACATATCTGTTGCCACGTTCCCCTGTTCCTGGTCTGTGTGCCCTGTTCTGAGTTGGGAATGGGCTGGAAAGTTAGTCATAGCCATATCTGCCTCTCAGGTGTCCCAGTGGGGAAGAAAAGTCATGTCCATAAACCTCATATTACCAAGTTGAACAAGCGCTAGAGTGATCCTTCCATGTGTGATGGGGGCAGTGGCATTTGAGGGGTATAAAAGGTGTATGGGAATTAGGGTGCAAATGGAAATTGATGTAATCAAGTGCTGTTCTAGGCAGGGGTGTGTATGGAGGAAGCAAGAAGTGAGAGAGCCAGAGCCTCAAAAAAGAGGATGCACAGGGTATCTTGGCACCCTTTGTACCTTTGCAGGACGTGGGGTCTGCAGAGCAGAATGAGGGCAGGTTCAGTTAGCACAAGTAGGGTAGAGGCTCAGAGTGGGAGGAGAACAAAGTGGAAAGTATATTAGATGTGAATCTAGGATTAGAAGTTGAAATGAAAGGGTTGATCTTTGAACACTTTGGCATAAGTCAACATGTCTGCCTTCTGTCCTGGAAATCACCCCAAAGCACCAACAACCAGAAAGACAAAATTAACTTAATAAATGATAAGTAATAAAGGCAACATCACACAATTGTGTAAGAGAAAAACAAATAACAAAAAAATCACAGAAAAAATATTGATAGTGAGCAGATAAAAACTGTATCTGGATCTTTTGTCAAGAAATAAAACTTAGCAATTAGGTAGACTCTCCTACTGAAACAAGATACGAGTGCTCACAGCCGATGGGAGAGCGAGGGCTGGACAGCAGGGCAGTGAGGACAGGGATGGACCATAGCAGAGTTCATCTCATTGCAAGATTAGGCCAATGGGTAAGTCAGTAACAAAGACTGTAAATGCTGTATCTGATTTTGCAGTATTTAGAATTTTCATAGAAATGCTTTGGGAAAACCATAAGAATGTTGGTTTTCTTATTGTTAATTAAAGAAAACTTAAACATACCAGGTAAATGTAGCATCAAGTAGTGAAAAGTATATCTCACTGTAGAAAGTAAACATTAAGGCTGATGTATTTGACTATGACTAGCCAGGTACTATATGCAGGAAATAAACAGGAACTGTTGAAACAGAAAAGGACAGGTATACTATAAAAGGACAGGTATACTATATACAGATATACTATACAGGCATTATAACAGCAACCGCTAGAACAAAAATACAAACCTTTTTAAGTGTCAAGAAAATTTCACACACAAAAAGTAACAGAATGAAATAGTTTTAAAAGTTATAAAACAGAAAACATAGTAACAGTACAAAAATAAATCCAAACATTGGTATGTCAAAATATAAACCAGCTATATTGTCCTAGTAAAAGGAAAAACCTTTCTGATTGGATTACAAAGTAAAACCATAAAATGCCGCAAAGGCAATGTAGGCAGTTGTAAACATTGAGTATTGATTGCAAATAAATTTGATTTCAAACCAAAGAGCATTACAGAATTGCAAGATCGGTACTTTCAACAGTAAAGATGCAGGTGAACATCTCTTTGTTAACTAACATATCGTCAATATTAAAAAAAAAAACCAAAAGCAGAAATGAGGGAAATTATCAAGGAACTATAGTAGGAACATTTATTTTACTTCTTAATCCATGATATATCAAATGGGCCAAGAATAAGTAATAAAAAAGATAATAGCTCTGTTTAATATGTATAGATTAAACTTCTAACCCCCAAACTAAAAGAACACTTTTTAAAAAGCATTCATTGGAGCCATTCATCAAAATTAACCATATATTTGATAATAAAACCTGTATAAATTTAACTAGGTAGAACTAATACAACTTTTTCTGATCACCATGTGCTGAAATTTGAAATTAAAAACAAATCCAAAATAAGCAAAAACTCTTAACCCTTGGAAATTTAAAAGGAAACAAAGAAACAGAAACTCTTACTTTCTTTTTTTTTAAGATTTTTTATTTATGCATACAAGAACTGGGGTACAGACCAGAGGTGGGGGTGAGTGGTGGTGAGAGGATTCACTAGACAGAGTGGAGAGCAGAACAGTAGATCCACTGAAATACATTGCTGAGGGGAGCAGTGGGCGAGACAGGAGAAGTCTGCTGCGCCAAGAGGGTTATCTCCCTGGCCGGGGATTGATATCGTGCTGTAGAGGCTGCGGACAGCTTCACAGTGCTGTGCTTTACCCTCTTTGCACCACCAGGGAGGCCCAAGAAACTATCGTAAGCAATGCTTGAGTTTAAAAAAAAAAAAAAAAGAGTTCAAAAGTGCATAAAATCTAGAAAATAATATCATGAAAACACTTTCACCAGAGCCTGTGGGAAATAGCTAGAACATTGCTCAGAAGAAAAATCACGGGTTTAAATATTTATATTATTGAGCAAGAATGAATGAATATACATGGATTAACCATCCAGCTCAAGAAATTAGAAAAGGAAACAAAATAAACCTTAGTGAAGCAAAAGGTAAGAATTTGTGAAGATCAAAGGTATAAGAAAGTGAAAAGTGGTAGTTAATAAGAAAGTGAAAAGTGGTAGATATAACAAATATATCCAAATGCCTGTGTTTTTAAATAGTCAGTAAAACATACATATGAATTATACATGGAAAGTGTCGCCAGCCAACATAAGGAACAAGAGTCATTACCTTGGAGTTATTGACCGGGAGGGGCCAGGAGAGCTTTCTGGGATGCTGAGGATTCTGGGTCTTGATCTGGATCACAACCGCAGGTGTGGGATATTGCAGAGTCCCTGGGCCACACACTTCATGTACCCTCACGCTTAACTGTGCTTTTCCTCAGTAGTGAAGAAAATAAAAATCTAAAAATGAGTTCTGCACGAACTCTATGAAAAGAAGAATTATATCACACCTCTACTTAAATAAGTTTAAACATCTGAATGAAATAGTTGCATAGGAAAATTATCAATACTGAATCTTGAAGAGATAGGAGTTTTAAACAGACCAATTATTATAAAGTTGTCACAAATTAACCACTCCTCCCCACCCCAAGGAAAAGAAAAAAACTGAAAATGTTTCATTTGAAAATTCCACTAGATAAATCTTCAAAGTGTAGCATCCACCACACAGTATCACCTGTCCTGGAGCCATCATGCCCATCTTGCCCTGGTGCTCTGTCACTTTGTGCTTGAATCAAGTGGGACATCACTGTAGGCCATGAGGGATGTGTGTAAGTGGGCGCTGGGCACATGGAGGACCAAGCCGGGGGCTGGCCCTCTGGGCCTGTGTTCCTGCATCTCCACCCAGGGGGATGCTGCCTGTTCACACCCAGGGATTCTTGTTTCCTAAATAAGAGCTGGTCACGCAGACAAATCATGATTAGATAAAGGCCCAAACCCGCCTGACAGTGCCCTGACACAACAGCACTGGCAGCAGGGGCATTCCTGAGGGAAACTGGGGTAAGGGAAGGGGGCAGCATTTTACCAAGAGCAGCAGTAAAAGCAAGAGTTACCCAGATGCTGGCAGTGGGGCAGTACTCAAAAGCCATAGGTGCAGGCGAGGAAGTGGCAGAGCTGGGTCTTTTGGCCTTGCTCTCTCCTTATTGATTAACTTGCCATGGGACTAAACTGTCATGGAGGGGAAGCCTCTGAGGACTGAGCTAAAGAATGGTCAAAACCCAGCCTGGGGACAGTGATGCTGAGCTAGCAGTAGGCTGATGGGGCTTGAATATGAACCTCTGTGCTGCTGGCAGTGATGAGAGGCCAGCGGGTTGCCCAGTCTCCTTAGGGAATCTATGTCTGCTCAGAGGGGCCATTGAAGCCCAGAACAACCAGGCCATACTTTGGTTGAGCCAGGTCTCACTCCTGGGAAGATCCTTCTGGGGGGAATCCCACTGATTGCTCTGCCCCTCATGAGCCTGAGATCAGAAGTGAAATCTACTCCCTGCACTGTCTTCAGCCTTGAATACCTTTGGGCTCCTGGCCTCTGCACCATAGTCCCAGGTGTGATAGAGCAGGTTGAAATCCATGTTCACTTACCTGCTGTTTGTGCACTGCCTGTCATCCTGTAGATGAATTTGAAGTAGAAAATAATTAAAATACCAGGGGAGGTTCCCTGGTGGCGCAGGGGGTTGGGACGCAACCTATGACACTGTCTGCAGCCTCTGCAGCATGAGTTCGATCCCCAGCCCGCCAAGGAGCAGCCCATACGGCGCAGCAGACCTCTCCTTGCTCGTCCGCTGCTCCCCTCAGCAGTGTACTTCCGTCAGTCTGCCTGTTCTGTTCCCCACTCTGTCTCTGGTGAATCCTCTCACCCTCCACACCTCTGGCCTGTACCCCAGATCTTGTATGCATAAATAAATAAATCTTAAAAAAAAAAAAACAGAGCCTTTAAAACAGGTCAAAGTATTGGAAAATTTACAATGTTCTTTCCAACTGCTGTGTCCCCCTCATCATATTTCAAATGACTGTGTTCCCCTTTGGAATCAAGCGCTAAGAAAGAGAAAGTCAGTTTAGAGAAGCGGGAATGCTTTAAAGTCTGGTAGCTTCAGGCATCTGTGATTCCCAGGAGATGAGGCAAGGAGGATATGGTCTCTCCCCACCCGCTTCCTGCATGGGGTGGGATCCTGCCCTCACCTTCCCAGGGCCAATGGATGCTGCCTTTTGGATGTCTGGGGCCCAGGGAGAGGTGGCTCCAGCAGCACTCACCTAGTAGACCCTCATTCTGTGTTTCTTGTAGCTGGAAATGGAGCTAAAGATGCTGAAATCTCAATCAAGCTCTGCTGAGCAGGGATTCCTGTTCTCCAGGGAGGAAGTGAGCTCACTCAGGTAGGTGTTCCTGCAGCCTCTCTCCCCATCAGCACCTGGTGCTCTGTCACTTTTCTCTCTGTCACCTCCCTGGAAGCTATTTCCTTTTTCCATCACATTCCATCCCCTTGGCTTCCTATCTGCAGAGGCATGCCTCAGATGGCTTGAGTGCTTTTTCAGCATTGTTTCTCAGACCGGTATTGACAGCTGGGGCTCTCATGTCCCCTGCACTCAAAGAGAGCAGAAGACTGTCACGGTGCTCTCTGGTGAGACCTGTGTTTGTTGCCAGCATTAAGGAAACAAATAGGAGTAGCCCCTCTGCCCCCACACCCCAAGTGCTCTGGAGACTGCCAGGGGGTCTGAGAGCATGGGTTTGTTCAGAGGTGATGCAGAACCAAGCCCATTTCAGAAGCTAATTGCTCCCAAAGCAACCGCCGCACCAATGTGTGACCACACCACCTTCGGTCTGTGTTTCAGACAGGGCTGGGAACACGACTCGCATTTCCCAGGGAACATTTTCTCCATTCCTCCCAATCCCTGTGACACCCCAGCACTTCTTGATAGGCTTCCCTGGAGCACAAAGTGCTTTTCCAGAAAATCTTTTCTGAAGTGGTCTGTTCAGAGAACGGCAGATAGCCTGCCAGTCATCACCCCGCATGGCCCCGCCTGCTGCCCTTCCCTGTGAACACAGCGGTCAGTGGGGAAGCTCTGCCCTTGTCGTTCATGCACAGATTTGTTGTGTGTAAATGATATGTGCTAAATATGTATGTGATATATACACACACATACCCACAGTTATAAAACATAGCTCTTTTAATGAGGAAAGCTTCAGTAAAGATTTAAGTGTCAACAGCTGAAGAACCCTTTCAGCTGGAACAAATCTGGGTTCTTTCTTTTCTGCTGTCAAATAGCAGCTCCAGCAAATCCTAGATGTCGTCTGTGGATTTAGCAACTGGACAGACTCTCAGTCCTTCCAGATACTCATATGCCTGTGCCAATACCTGCCTGTCCCCTCTGGCGCACACACCCTGCCATCTGTGTCCTGCTAACATGTTCATGAAGGCCCTTTTCCTGCCACCTTGAGACCCCTGGTGTAGGGCGTTTTGGGGACTGTTGAGACATTTGCAGCATTCCTCATTGAGGATGGCAGTGTGCATCGTCCCCATCCATGCCCTTTCCAGACTACAAGGTTTTGAGGTTCCTACTGTTCTTTTAAGTGAACACTTCTCAGATGCCCCCTACTTTCTGTCTCCTGTGAATCTGCAGTCAGGAAGACTGGGCCCTTTGCCCCTCAGCCATTGGTTGATCTTGGATATGGGCATACCTGGGGAGGGCAAGGCTGCAGAATCACCACTGGAAGCCAGGCCTTGGAAAGGGAGCTAGCCTTCCTCTGCTTCCCCCTCTGTTGAGCATAGCCTCTGTCTGGGCCTGGGTCTGTGCGCCTGGTCTGTGATCCACCTCGAAGGCTGTCACAGCCAGGATGAGGTGCCCTTGATCCTTGATGCTCTGGACTTGAGGCCACTCTCAGGTGTCTGCCATGAGCCTCCTGACCAGGACGGGTGTCTTCAGGCTTAAATGGGGACTAGGGCGACCCTTCAGGAGACTTTCAGCCTCACAGCCCTTCCCATCAGCAACAAGAAGCTTTAGCAGGAAAGCCTAAGGTCAGCAAGACCTAGTGGTAAAGAGCATTGGGCATTTCTTCAACCTGCTACCCAACTGCTGGTAACTGGGAGCTGGTGACCATGCAGAAGACATGGTGCACAGGTGGAATTACCATATTTCCACCTGCTCTTTGCCAGGACTTGTGCCGGGAGAAAGGCCCCCACATCCCAGACCAGAGGACTGAGACCTTCCTATATGCCTGTGTTCCTTCCTCCCAGGGACTAAAGAGTCTTCTTCCGTTCCCTGGATTCTAGAACTTAAGGACGTGGCTGTGGGCCTGCATTTGCATGTGTTGATAGCTCAGACCTTTGATGCACTGTCTCTCCTTCAGTTCTTCAGCTTCTCGTGAATTGTTCATTGGTTATTTCTTCTCTCTCTTCTTCATTTCATCTTTCTAAAACTATTATAACTTGATTGTTGAACTTCCTGATGTAGTTCTCTGTTTAAAAAGTTTTTTGATCCTATTTTCAATCTTTTTGTTCAACTTTCTATAAAATTTTCTGAAATGTATCAACCTGACTTTATTTTATTTCTACTCACACAGTTTGTTTTCTGAGATTTGGGTGGTGGTCTGTGAATGTTCTTTTATATATATATGGATGTGTGTGTGTATATATACATGTATGTAGGTATATATATGTGTTTATGTATCTATGTATATATACACACACACATAAATTTTTGTTGATATTTTAGAAATACAATATATTTAGTGTCTTCTTGGTAATGATATTATATTCTGAAGTTTTCTCCTGTCTGCTCTAAGTTGCTTCTTTCGGTCAGCTTGTTTGCCCCTTGTATGCTGAACAGTCTGTGTGCTGATGTTAATTGTGGGGGATAGCAGCTCCTTGGACACAGGTATACCTGGGTGAACTCTGCTCTGTAGCTTATCAGTAGTTGAACATGACTGGGCTGTTTGACTGGGAATGCAAAATTGGTGTCTTGGTCTTTCCTCTGGGTGACTCATATCTTTGGACCCCTCCCAAATGGAGGGTATGGTGCCACCAGCTCCCGGAAGCTGAGTTTGGGATAGGATCATAGAGGCTCAGTGTCATTCTTCCCAAAATCCTTGGAGAGAGCATATAATAAGAAAGGGTGTAGAGATGCTTATTTTTAAAAGGATCTTCATCTTGAACTTCTGATCAAACAAAGTAGCTGCATTCTTCCCAAGCCCTTCTCCTTACTACTCAAAACTCTGAACATGATACCGTAGCAGAGAAATCCTGGAGGATGGGGTGCATGGGACCTAGGACTTGAAGAAAGTGTGGTGGTGAGTTCCCCAGTTTCTCACTGCCACACATGAATCTGGGAAAGGAACCACATAAAGCACTAATCTGAACCAGTGAACACATGCACACAGAGGCCTAAACACACATGCACACAGAAAGGTCCAAGGAAAGCCTGTCCCCCCGCCAAAGGGGAATAGGGTATCTGACAGACTGGAACTCCTTTCTGACAATACCTGCCCTATTTCAGCCAAATGTCAAGGAAAATCCTGTCCCATTCCTGGCCCCTACTTCCTGGCAGCAAGCAGCAATACTTCCTGTCCCATCCAGTGGTGTCACCTCAGTCAAATGGACTTGGCATTCATCTCAGCCTTCAAGTAAGCAGTACCCCAATGTCCATGACCAGGTATATCGGCAGGGCTGGATGGGAGACAGGCCTCCATCTCTGCTTAGCCAAAAAGTAGGCAAGGCTCTGATTTCCCTGCCACAGATCTTGGGGTAATTGGGGAGCTAAACCCCCACACCCACTTTGTGGTATCAAAAAAAACAGAGCAAGATGGGAGAGACTGGGTACCCCACTCTTCCCACTGGCACAGGTCAGAAGGCTCAGCAAAAGGCCTCCTTCTCTACCCTGTAGCAGTGAGACAGTGCAAGGTGGCTCACATTCAGTGTGACCTTTCTGTTATGTCAGTGGAATGCAGCAGAGGGGTGCTCTTTTGCTAGGATTGGGTCAGAAGAGCCCAAGGGGTAGCAGAATTTCCACCTGACACCTGGCACTACACCTACACAGGATGGCTGCCTGCTGAAGGAAGATTAAATGGGATGCATATTTAATAAGTGTAGTGCTCAAAATGTCCAGAATGCAGATTGCAAGACCTCTCATCATATCCACAATCAGGGCAGTCAGTCATGAATAAAAAAGACAGCCTTCAGCACATGGTGACTCAGATGGTAGAATGATTGAACATGGAGTTTAAAGCAACCGTAATTAAAACATTCAACGGTTACCAATCTTTAAACAAAGGAAAGAAATGGTAAACTTCAGCAAACAAAAGTTTTATTTGAAAAAAAAAAAAGAACCAAATGGGAATTATAGACCTGAAAAATACAGAACTTGAATAAAAACCTCACTGGAATGGCTCATCAGATTGTAGATGAGAGGTTTGAAATCTGAGAGGTTAGTGGAAATCACCCAAACCAAACAATAGACTGAAAACAACAAGAATGACCTCAGGGTCAGCAGCACAGTCAGGCATGACACAGTGTTCAGTTAGTTGGAGTCCCAGACTGGGAAGAGAAAGATGTGGGGCTAGGAAAATACCTGAAGAAGTAATGACTGAAAAGTTCTCAAAAATGGTGAAGACCATACACTGACAGATTTAAGAAGCTGAGTGAACCCCACAAAGTATGAAACCAGAGAAATTCACATCATGACACATGCTAATTAGTCTTCTGAAAATTGAAGACAAAGGTAAAATGTTGAAAGAATCTAGAGAGAAACTATATTATCCACAGGGAACACTGATTTGAGTGACAGCAAATTTCTCATCTGAAACCAGAAGCCAGAACGAAGCACACAACATTTTTCAAGTTCTGAGAGAAAAGAACTGTCAGCCAGTGAAAATATCAGTCAGGATGAAAGGAGAATCAAGATATTTCTCAGACATTATAAAAGTAAGAGAATTTGTTTCTCACAGACTTCCTCTTAAAGAATGGTTAATGAAACTCCCAAATAAAAGGACTTGCTAATGGGAGGAGGCTTGGCATGTCCAGCAGTAAAGAACACACAACTACACCCCCCGCACCCCCGCCATGAACAGCTGCATCCTGGTGTGATGACATGCTCGGTGGACTGGAGGAGACACTTTGCCAAGTCCAGCATTAAGGGGAGGAGGGAAATGGAGCCACATGGCAGCAACTTTCCCACTTGTCACTGAAGTGGGTAACGTGTCAGGACCACTAGTTACCTTTGTATTTTTTAGTAACTAAAGCTGCCACTAAGAAGACTATAAAATGCAGTGTACTCAAAATCATAAATAAAGTGGAATTTAAAAAAAACGTTCAAGTAACCCATTAGCAGGCAACAAAAGAGAAACAACTTAGAAACAGAGCAAACAATAAAATGGTAAATTT